GGAGCCTGGTGGAGCCATCCCACAATCTATCCTCACTGTTGTGGTCACTATGTCAGTCCATTTAGTTAAAAGTCTTCCTCTCTTTTGCCGACTCTCTTCTCTTCCAAGCTTGATGTCCAATGCATAGGGACTGGTACCTCCTAGTAATATGCCCAAAGTATGTGAGATAAAGTCTCCTCATCCTTGCTTCTAAGAAAATCTGTCGTCCAGACAGGCATGTTTGTTCATTTGGCATTCACTGGTATATTCAGTATTCTTCATCAACACTACAAGGCAAAAGCCTCAGTTCTCTCGGTCTTCTATATACATTGTCCATATTCACATGCATAGTAAGCAATTAAAGCTATCATGACTAATATGTCTTTAATGTGATATCCTTGCTCTTAAACCCTTTGAAGAAGTGCTTGACCAAAGATTTTTCTATTGCAATACATAATTTGGTTTCTTAACTGCTATTTCCATGAATGTTAATTGTGGATCATGTTGTTATGTGCTGTTGAGTCACCTGCAACCCATAGCTACTCTATACACAGCATCTCTGAACCCTGTCCTCTCCTGAGCCAGTCTCACTAATACTGACGCACCCCCATTGCCCCAGATACTGTATCAATGCATCTCATCTGCGGTCATTCTCTCCTGTGTGGTACCTCCAGCCTTTCTAGCATGGTGTCCTTCTCCAAGGACCAGTCTCTCCTGGCCACATGCCCAAGGTATTTGAGATAGAGCTTCAAAATCCTAGCCTCCAAAGAGAAACTTGGTTTCACCCTCTCCAAGACATACCTTTTTGTTTCCTTGGTGATCCATAGTATGTTCAAGACTCTTCTCCAGCACCAGAGTTTGAAGGGGTGAATTCTTCTGTCATCCTTAGTCATTGTCCAGTTCTCAGATGCACAGCAAGTAATTCTGAAGGCCCTGGTTTGGATTAGGCACACGTTAGTCTCTAGACTGACATCGTTGCTTTTCAGTACTCTGGAGAGGTCTCTGACAGGAGATAGTCCCAGTATAATTCGTCCTTTGATTTCCTGACTGTTTGTGCCAAGAGTGTTGATTGTGGACCTGAGCAAGCTATAATTGTTAATAATCTTAATCTCTTTTCCATCTGTCATGTTCTTGCCAATTTGCCCGGTGGTCAGAATCTTTGTCTTCTTGATGTTGAGCTTTAGAACATATTCAAGACTCTAGTCCTTGACCTTCTACAGCAAGTGCTTTAGGTCTCTTCAGTTTCAGCAAGCAAAGTTGTGTCATCTGCATAATGTAGGTTGCTGATGAGTCTTCCTCCAATCCTGATGCTACATTCCTCCTCATAAAGCCCTGTTTCTTGAATTATCTGTTTTGCATATAGATTGAAAAACTATGGAGACAAGATGCATCCCTGATGCAGTCCGTTCCTGATTTTGAACCATGCAGTGTTTCCCTGCTAATGTTCTGGGGACTGCTTCCTGTTTCAAGTATAGGTTTTGCATAAACACAACCAAGTGTTCTGGGTTTTTCTCAAGGCTAGCCACAATTGGTTGTAATCCACAGTCAAATGTCTTTGCATAGTTAATGAAACATAAATAGACTTTCCTCTGGTACTCTTTGCTTTCTGCCAAGATCCATCTGATATTGACAGTAATGTCTCTAGTGCCACAACCTCTTCTAAACCAGCTTGTTTTTCTGGTAGTTCTCTGTCAACATACTGTTCATTTGTTTCTGGATAATCTTCAGGATTTTGCTAGTGTGTGATATTAATGATATTGTTTGATAATTTCCACACTGTTGGGTCACCTTTTTTTGGAATGGGAATAAATATGCATCTCTTCCAGTCAGTTGGCCAGGTAGTTGTCCTCCAGATTTCTTGGCTCTACCTGGTAAGGCCCTCTATGAGGTGGATTGATTCAGTGACTGGGATAATTGGGATGGGAGTGTCAGAGACAGTGTGATTGGCACAGGACAGAGTGGAGTTTAGGGCTGTTGTACATAGGGTCGCTATGAGTCGCAGGCGACTCGACGGCACATAACAACAACAACAACACCTGGTAAGAACATCCAGGGAAGCATCTGTTTGTTGAAATACATTAATTGTTATTTCATCAATTTCTAGGGCTTTACTTTTTGCCAAGTTCCTCAGGGAAGCCTGAACTTCCTCCTTCATTACCATTCCCTCTTGATCATATGTTGTTTCTTGAAATTCTTATGTCAGCCAATTCTTTGTGGTCCTGTGACTCTGTATACTTCTCCCATCTTCTTTTAAAGTTTCCTGAATCAATCAATATTCTGCCCATAGCATCTTTAAGCATTGCAAATTGTGGCTTGAATTTTTCTTTAGTTCCTTCAGCTTAAGAAATGCTGAGTAAGTTTTGTCCTTTTGATTTTCTGACTCTAGCTCCTTGCACATTTCATTATAATACTTTGCCTTGTCTTCCTGAGCTGCCCTTTGAAATCTTCTGTTTAGCTCCTTATCTTCTTCATTTCTTCCCATTTTTTGGCTTCTTGGTGCTCTAGTGCAATATTCAGAGTCTCTTCTGATGTCCATTTTGGTCTTCTTACTTCTTTGTCATGACCTTTTGCATTCTTCATAAAAAATACTTTTGGTATCTTCCCACAGCTCATCTGGTCTTTGTTCATTAGTGTTCAAGGCCTCAAACCTGTTCATAAGTTGGTTTTTGAGTTCAGGGGGCATAGACTCAAGATCAAATTTTGATTCCTGTGGAAATGATTTAACCTTATTTAGCTTTAATTTGAACTTGCATATGAGTAGTTGATGGTCTGTTTCACATTCAGTACCTGGCCTAGTTTTCACTGCTGATATTTAACTTCTCCAGTGATTCCTTCCATAGATGTAATCAGTCTGATTCCTATGCATCCCATCAGGTGAAATCCGTGTGTATAACTTGTGTTTATGTTTCTTAAAAAGTATTTGCTATGAATAAATCATTAATTGTGCAGAATTCTATCATTATATCCCAGCCTCATTTCTGTCACCAAGTCCATATTTTCGGTCTACTGATCCTTCTTCTTGGTTTTCAACTTCCACATTCCAGTCACACATTATTATTAATGCATCTTGGTTACATGTTCCATCTGTTTCTGACAACAATCCTTGAAAACATCAATCATAGCTCCATATTTTGTGATGCTGCTTACTGGTTCAGTTGTGAGGATTTTTGTTTTCTTGATGTTGAGATATAGTCCACAATGAAAATTGTATGGTTTTTAACCTTAATTAATGCTTCAAGTCTCCTTTTTCTGCAAGAGTTCTTAAAATAATAAGAGAATACTTATTTTTAAGGCATTGTATTTCAGCACATGAATATAGTTCTCCTGTGGGTTTCATTTAATGGGAAAATATTAATTGTGATGACTACACTCTTCATTTTTGAGTCTTCTTCTGGAAAGTACCTTATGTCAGTTTCAAGTTTCCATTTTTAGCTTTATTTCCAAGAGATACAGTGCAGACAGAAGATAGTCGTGGGGTCATCTGACTTCATCCCTCCTGGTGGCCCGTACCTCCAGCCTACATCGATTTCCCTTTGCATATGTCTTCCTTCCTGGGGCTCTGTTTAAGCTGTCCTTCCTCCTGGAATTCTTCCCATCTTTTCCTTTCCTCCACTCACTCACTGATGCATTGCCCTCCAATCAGATTGACTAACAGCTGACAATGCAGCAAGTTTCTTTGGCTGTAAATTGAACAAGAGGAGGAAGCTCATCTTCTTCCTGAGAAGCCACTTGATAGAACCACTGAAGAGGCAAGAGTTTTGGGTTAGTCTCTACTGACTACTCCACCACAGCTCCTTTGTCCTTTCCCCTAACTATCTAGAAACCCACACTGTCCTTCCTTCTCTAGAACCCAACCCAAAGACATTAGATGGTTTGCCTGTCCTAGCCAGTCCACCAGGGACACCTTCTCCTCCCTTTAAACAACTAGAGCATTTTACAACTCTTTCCTAAAACACACCAAATATGAGCCATGCATCCAGTTCTGTTTACCTTCCCCTATACAAATAGAACCTTCCTTCATTGTCTCTGACTCACTTCCTTCAAATGATAACATAGTCTATACATGTAGTTGAAAGACTCAGTGCATATTTTGTTGAATTATTCAGTGACTGGGATAATGGGATTGGGTGTGTTGGAGACAGTAAGATGGGCACAGGATAGAGCAGGGTTTAGGGTTGTGTACATAGGGTCGCTACGAGTCGCAGATTACTCGACAGTATGTAACAACAACAATAACTCTACAAAGTGACATTCCAGTGGGCAATAAAGAAAACTATATCCAACAAAAAAAAAAAAAAAGAATGCTGCTTTAATATACTATTCTGCCCCTTTGTTGGCTAACTAAAAAAAAAAAACACGAGTCATCTTTTTAATCATTGGATAATATTGTATCCACCTATGGCTAGGAAAGTAGAGGAAATATTTTTATTAGGATATCTTAAAGGGCAAAAGTCAGACACATGGAGTTTGAGAAAGTTAAAAAGCATTAAGAATTCCTAAAGAGCCCGTGTAATTCAATTGATAAACTGATGCCTAGAAAGCTTGACGTGCCCTACATTATGCAACCAGTTTCTGGTAAAATTGGCGCTTAGGATCTAGTTACTTATTTGGATCTGATTAGATTTGCTGTTTAGGTTGGTACTGTCAAACTCTTAAAAGAGGTTTTTAACAGTTTTATATTGCCTTTAATGGTTTAGCAAATAGGAAATTGAATTCCTAAATAGGTTTTCCTTTTCATATTTCCCTAATTTTTAGTTTCTCTGATTCATTCATATTGACTGTTAAAATGATCACGACCTTATTCTTGGACCTTATAGAATCATTTGCTAACACTTAAGTAAACTTTTTATTGAAGTGTGATATACAAAAGTGTATGGAATGTTAAGCCTATATCTTGATGAATTTTCAGAAAGTGAACACGTCTATAAAACTTGTCAAGAAACGGTAGTATTAATTAGGTTGGAACAATTTGAACAAAGAAAAAAATTTGAAATTATATAATGTTTTCTTTTTCTCCACAGGTGTTGTCAGTCTGTGTGTTAACAACAATCCTCGGTTGTATATTTGGATTGAAACCAAGCTGTGCCAAAGAAGGTAATTAATATAGTCTGTAGTTGGTGCATGAGGGCTTTGCTGGTGCAGTGGATAAGTACTTGAGTGCTGGTTTAAAGGTTAGTGGTTCAAACACAACAGCTATCCTTTGGAAAAAAGAGGTGGTGACTGCTTCCATAAAGATTTCAATGTTGGAAATCCTCTGGGGCAGTTCTACAATGTCCTATGGGATTGTTAGGAGTTAGAATGCTGACTTGACAGCAATAATTTGTGTTGGGTTTTGATTAGGGCTGTGTGTGTGTGTGTGTGTGTGTGTGTGTGTGTGTGTAAGTAGTAAATTGTGTGTGTTGATATTCTGTCTTCTTCAGAGTGGTTTAAGACAAATATTAGCTGATAATCGTTGGGTAATCTAGATACATTGCCAGTTTTACATAGGCTTGAGTTTTCTTTTTTTACTGTAGCTCTTATTATTGTGTATGAGTCATGTTGTTGTTGATTGCTGTCGAGTCCAGCACGACTCATAGAGAGCCTATGAACAAAAGGCCTGAAGCCTTTCTAGAACTATTGTCATTCATGAAAGTTCATAGAGTTTCTGGAGGCATGTTGTTTAGGAAGTGGATGCCACCCCTGCTGGGTGGGACAAATGTAAACTATTCTGCTAAGTGCAAGAGCTGACAATCTGCTTCCAAAAAAACAGCTGTCAGAAAACCCTCCAGAACACAGTTGTACTCTGACACTTAGGAGTCACCCTGTCAGAATCAACTTAACTGTAACTGTAGCTCTTTTATTCTTTTAGCCATAGGACATTTTGTTTACTTGAAATACTTCAAAAACCAAAAGAGACCATAAAAAAGACATTTAAGACAAACAGACAAGTAAACATGGCCCCTGAGATGCTGATATTCTGCTCAGGAAGCTTGCTTGGCTGGCTCACTGCCACTGGGCTTCAAGGACATTCATCCAGGAGCTGATTGCAGAGGTCGACCTGCAGGTTACTAGGTAGCCTGTCAGCAACCACAACAACAAGGCTTTTGAGTTGTGGATGTGGTGGTTTCAAAGTTAATACTGATATGTTTTAATCTTCTGGACATTTAAAAATTTATATTGAGCCCAAAAATGTGTACAGCACTGATGAGAGCATAGAAGTAACCTGCATCCCAGTGAATTGCAGTGACTGTTAGTTTCATTTTGAGATCCTCCATGAAATTACTGGGTGCTAGGAAATTCATTTTTCAAAATTGTACAAAGTCTTCTTTGTTTATTCTGTAACTGTAGGCTGAGTCACTAAGCATTGGTGGTGACTGTTAAGCTATCATTTAGAATTAAAATGAAGGAAATAGCATAGTTATGTGCTTCTCATCAGGAATCTATTCAAAGCATGTGTATCTGTTTTTGATAAAATTTAAGAAGTAGAAAAGAGGAGAAAGAAAGGGAGAGAGAGGAAAATGAACAATGAATGAATGCAAACTCAACCTTTCTGTAAACTTTCTTTAACATCACAATAAAAAAAATGAATAATAAAAAATTTAAGAAGTAACAAGCTTTCATGTTCACCTGTCTGTTATTTTGGCGTGATATAGTTAAGCCTGAGTACAGTTTAATACCTTAGAAAAAACTTGAAAAGTTGAAGATGAAAATAAAACATTTTTAATTTAAGTCTAGTATAATTATACATAACAACTAGATGATAGAATTATAAGATACATTGTAATGAGTTCCACATATAGCTGTTATTCTAATAGTTCTTCTCAGTTTGGTCAAGAGCGTTAGATTTTCTGACTTTCTTATTTGTCACTTAATGCTCTTATAATCGCCTGATTTCTCAATGTCAGTGAGTGTTAAGGTGAGAAACTCCAATTATCCTTTTTGGTTTTCTGCCTATTAGACTTCCATTAATTTAGATGTGGCTTCATTTTCTCTCACCAGCCTCATTTTGTAATAATTGTGCAAAAACCTAGGTTATCCAACTTAGGGATGGCACCTTGTTAGCAGTTCAAATCCACCAGCTGCCCCTCAGGAGAGAGATGAGCAATGATTTACAGCTGTGGAATACTGTAGGAGGGTCAGCTGTGGGATGGTTCTAAATAGATGAGCAATGAGGTTTTATTCAAGCTACAATTTAGAGTTACAACATTTTTGCTTCTAATGCTTTTTTCTTTCTATTTCCATTTATCCATTTAATAAAAATTACCAAGTGTCAGCTGCATGCCAAGTTACTAGAGTTATATTGCCCAGAACAAGATCCACATGCAGGTTTAGTTCTTGTAGTCTAGTATAAAACATAGTTGCAAATTGAAGCAAGTGGGAAGGACAAGATTTTAGGACAGGGAGTTAGCACAGACTTTTCAAGGGGAGGGAGCTAGGCTGATTCTACCACTGAGTGGTGCTGTCCTGGGAAGGACAGCTCTGTGAACTGGATTCTGCATGAGGTGTTACTTTTTCCTCTTAACATGATGGAGAAATAGCTGAGTCAGGTGCTCATTCCCTTTGTGAAATCTTTATAGTCACTTTCTGATCTTTTTCGCACAAATTGGGAATTTTAAAGACTCCTGTGGCTGCTGAATCCAGCGCCTTTATAATAGAAACTGTTCAGAACAGGTTCTGAATTCAGATTTTGCTTTATTACTCCAGAAACATTTAACACTTATCATACTTAGGGCATTTGTAATAAAATCTTCCTTATTCCTAAGGTGAGAGATAAATTCACAAACTCAGTGCAAAAGGTTACTTTCCGATTACATCTAAAGAGTATTTGAAACCCACTTGATAGCCCCCTTACGTGTACTAGTTGATGCTTGCTTTATAAGTATATAATGATTGTTGTTTGCATTTGAGTCGGAACCAACCCATAGCTGAACCTCCAAAGGGGTTTTGAAGCAGTTAATTGTATGGGAGGAAATTACCAATCCTTCTTCCTCAGAGCAGCTCGTGGATTTGAACCACATGCCTTGGGGATTACAGTGCAGTTTCTTAATAATAGGCTGCTAGAGCTCCCTACATAATGATTAGAAGCCTCTAACTCACTGCTCAATATTTTCAGTTAAAAGTTGCAAAGGTCGCTGCTTTGAAAGAACCTTTGGGAACTGCCGCTGTGATGTTGCCTGTGTTGGGCTTGGAAACTGCTGTCTGGACTACCAGGAGACGTGTATAGAACCAGGTAACAATGGCAGGGGGACTGAGGGAGTCTTGGCTCTTAGTAAAAGAGTAAAGCAAAGTGCTGTAACTTTGTGGCATGTGAGGTCACTAATAGGTTTGCTTTTTTTTTTTTTTTAACTCAACATGTGTACATATTTTGATCACAGTCTATATTTTAAACAATTGCTTAGGGAAGAAATGTGAAATATTTCGCCTTCATCAAACATTTTATAGAGCAAAACACTAAGTCTTTTTAGTATATACTGAAAACCTTGATATTATAATTTATATGTGAACTAACTTCTTCATACCCATGAATATTTGTATTAGTCTTTTTTTTTTTCCCCCTTCCATTGATTATGGAGGAACTGGGAGATAGAAATGGTCTGTGTGCCCAGCTATGGACAAAAATTTGTTTATTCTAGTCCTTCCTAGCACTTAGTTCTGAAAAATTAGCCCTTGTAAACTTTACAGGGCAGACTTGTACTCTGTTATACATGAGGTGACCAGGAGTCATGATAATAACTAGTATTATAGGCAAGAGTTATTAGGTGTCCACATGAACATTAAAAAACAAAACTGTCAGAGTTAGAAACACTTTCCCAGTTTGTTCTGGACTTTTCTGTGTGTGACCTGGAATAATATTTAAGTGGAGATGAGTCACTTTAAATTTCCAGAACCCTGAAAATGGCTAGTGTAAGAAGCTAAGATCTACCTATGAATTCCCTCATAATAATTTTGTGTGTCCAAGTTTTAAAATGATAAAGTTCTGTGGTTGTTAAACTCATAACATTTGATGCCAGCATGGTCCATATTTATTAGTTCACAATGACCTTGTGATGATAGATTCTGAGGGTAATGAAGAAGTCCATTGATAGCGATTCTGTATTAGATTTGAACCATGAAATATGTTTGGTTTGCTGTTTGCTTCTAGAAAGGATATGGACTTGCAGCAAGTTCAGATGCGGTGAGAAGAGGTTGTTGAGAAGCCGCTGCTCCTGTTCAGATGACTGTAAAGACAAGGGCGACTGCTGCATCAACTACAGCTCTGTGTGTCGAGGTCGGGTTTCCACGGCTCGTTTGCTTCTTCATCAGCCTGATGTCTTCCTGTATTTTGGGTGTAGAGGCTGTTGTTTATATTGGAATGTATACTTCTTGGCCAATTATATTTAAATAAACTTGTTGTTAAAGAAAATTGCAAGCACAGACATGAATAGAGAGATTGGCATAATGAACCTTCTGCCCATCACCTGGCTTTGTAGTCGTCATAAGCACAAGGTCAATATTGTCTTATCGACTCTAGTCATTTGCTCTCTCTCTACCACCTCTCACATTATTTTGCTATCAGCTGCATATTTTTTTTATGCTTTATTTGTGGAAAGATTCCTGGCTGATGTCTGTTTCGGGTTTCCTCATAATAAATGAGGATCATGTCTGCCATGTGTGAAAGAGTGAATAATAAAACTGCGTCAAAATATTATGTAACTGGGAGTGATTCTGCTGTCTTGTCCAGGTGTACAGGGTTCTTTTAGACCCTGGCTATATATGAAGGGAAAGTTAAAACATCAATCAAGGTTTCATTGCCAAAAGATTTTGCTGAGATTGTAAATTTTGGTTGAAACTATTAAGACTTTAAAAGTGAAGAGATAACCACTGGATCTATGAAATACAGTAATATATTTTAGTCTTATAATTATGCAGGTTTTTTTTCTTCCTGATTTGTATTTTATATTTCCTTATTATCACATGCAGGGAGCTCTGCTGGCCTGGCCCATAGGGAGTTGGGCTACTAATTCTAAAGGTACACCTATCTAGCAGTTCAAATCCACCAGCAGCTCCATATGGACAATCTCCTCCTGTGTGACTTACAATCTTGGAAATACTGTGGAGGGTCAGCAAAGAGTTGGTCCTAACTTTAGCTATGAGTTTGAGTATCACATCCAGTAGTATCTGTTCTCTGTTAACACGTTTAGATTTTTTTTTTTTAAAAAAAGTCTTAATGTTTATCTTACAGGTATTCGGGTTGTTAGCATTACATGTGCTCAAGTTGTTTTATTTCTTGACAATGTTTTAGGTGAGAAAAGTTGGGCAGAAGAAACATGTGAGAGCATTGATGAGCCGCAGTGTCCAGCAGGGTAAGGTGATGTTTTAAGATAATAGCTTCGTAATAAATGCCATCACTTTCTCCTACTGTGAACAGGTAAAACTAATAACTAATTCATTGATCATTATTTTTAGTCAGGCTTGTGCTTGACAGTGGAAGCAGGGAGTTAATCCTGGGATGTTCCCTAGTCCAGAAACCAATGGAAAATAAAAGGGAGATCATGCATATCTGGTATTATGGCTTTAAGTGAAAGTATTTATATCTTTCTTTCCTCCTGAAAATTTAAGTCTTTGTACTTGTAAGGCTTTTACTTGTAACAAATTAAAGGTGTTTCCTCCCCACCACCCCATCGGTGGCTTAGGAGTAATCAGTTACGTGGCAGGGTTCTAATCTACCAGCTTCTCTCTGAGAAAATGATGAGCACTTTCCTCCCATGTAATTAACTGCCTTGGAAAACTCACTGGAGGGTCAGTCATGAGTGGCTTCAGACTCAGTGATAACTCAGAAAAACTCAGTTCAAGTTTTTAAAAATATTTTATTTGCATTCATTTGTTATAAAGTTTCTAAATAATTGAAATATATCTGAGAAAATACTACACATTTTTTAATTCCTTCCCCCCCTCCTTTATGTTCTTAAAGTCTTTTGCACAGTATATTATCTATAAAATGTTTTGCACAGTACCATCAAAGTATCTTGTTTAGAAATTAAAGAGTAGAAATTTTCACGGAGATTTCAGATGTGTTTACTTTTGTTCCATCAGAGATTTACTACCTGAGATAATTTTAAGTAGTAAATTTCAGAAATATATGCTTTCCTTTTAATGATTTTCCAAAAATGTAAAATTTTTTCTCTTACCTTGTTTTATTTATGTGTATCATTCATTTTAGATACATAAAAGGCCTCTCATTTTCCCCCTTTTGAATAAAGAGTTCGTTTTTTAAAAAAACCCCCAAACCCAAACAATAGACATAGCAATCCCAACAATAAAATCAAAACAAACGATTAATGAAAGGACCTCTTTTTAAGGGAGACTTTTCCAGTAGACTAAACTGTCTTTGATGAGTAAAGGCTAGTGGAAATCTTAGACATTGTGAAATGTAAATCTTTCTTTTGCTTCTAAATAAAATGGAAATATTTTTCAGTCACAGTATTGACTCTTAGTGAACAAAAGTAATTCCTCCCTTTTGAAGAAGATCATCATTTGGAACTTGAAGCTTTTATGTCACTGACTCACCTGAATGGCTTTTATATTTTCTGTTGGTTGAATAGAAATAATTTTATACAAATGTGGACCTTGAAGACTATACAAAACTGTGTTTACAGATTCACTCCAAGGAGCTGTTACCGATACTTAGTGGATACTAAATTTTCTCCCTTTGATGGGCTTATGTTTGTGTAAGGATAAGAAGGTGAGAAAGTATTGTTATAAAAGACAAGGAGAGGTATTTATGTCTATATTTTGCATTATCAAGTGAACTTTCATAGTTACTTAGTAACCTATGATTTTCTGCTCATTTACTGCAAGTTGCACAATTACTAAACTGGCTATTTTGGTGTAGCCATGTAGTTATACAGAGGGGTTCTCGGCTGAGTTCATTATTGTACTTTCTGTTTGTTTTTTTACCTTGTTTACATTTCTGCCCCATTAACTAGTATGTATTTGCATATAACAACTGATTTCTCTCTGTGTGTGTGTGTGTGTGTGTATGTGTGTATGTCTGAACCTCCTCCTTTTTTATTCCCAGCTTTGGATTATTTCTCTATTGCTTAGTTCTTTGAAGGTGATCTTGTTAACTGCCTCTAACTTTTCTATTAACTATTACCATTTTAAAAATATATTAAACTTGAAATATTTTACAGTTAATGAAGCATGAGATGCTATATGAGATGAGAGACAGTTGAAATGGAAAACTGTTGAAAACAAGTTTAAAGAATTGAAAGAAGACAGTTTAGACAATGCTGCTTATTAACATTTATTTTACTATGACTTGAGAAAATGCTGTCATCACATGTTAGCAGTAAAATGTATTGGTCTGGCTTTGGAATAATAGCAACCATGAATGACATGTTTTGTATGGTGATTATCAAAATGTTAGTAGTGCTTACTGAGTACTGTATGGTCACACACACACACACACACACACACACTTTATATATAAATGTAAAAACACATATGTGAACATCAATTCATGTAAAAATGTCCTTCATGAGTATACTTGCTGAGCTTGATACTTTGTCTCTCTTCTCTTTCTTTTTTTTCCTTTCACCCCTTAATATATTTTTTTTTCTTTCTCATTACCCAGGTTTGAGACGCCTCCAACCCTCTTATTTTCTTTGGATGGTTTCAGGGCTGAATATTTACACACTTGGGGTGGACTTCTTCCTGTTATTAGCAAACTAAGTGAGTAACTGCAGAGTTTACTGTGGGGATGCGATGGTTTCGACGAGCTAGACAAGGCAGGTGGTCCTTTTTGGAAAAGTACCGACAGAGTCTTACTGTTTTGCCAGATTACTCGCTTGCTTGGTAGTTGAACTTGATGAGCGGCTCAAGACACCTTGGCCTGGCTCAGGCACACCTTATTACGCTGTTCCACAGAGAGAGGTTATGGAAAAACAGTAAAAAAAGAAAGAAGGAAATTCTTGACCACCTCAGTCTTTTCTTGATGTATAATGTTGCTAATTATCCACTTGTAAAGTGTGAAGCTTATGGTCTTTGATCTTCTTCCATAAGTGCCTCAAGTCTTCTTTGCATTCACAAGCTGGCTTGTATTATCTGCACATCACATGGTTCTAGTCTTCTGCCAGTCCTGATACTTTTTCAGGCAATGAGATACTGAATTGCTCCTTCTCAATAGCAGGGCAGGTGATGAGGAACTTGATAGCATGGCTACGTCAGCAGGGACACTCCGCTTTCTTTTCTTTATCTGAGTGAAGCCAAAAGATGATGCTTGTCCTTGAACACTGAAAAATTTATTTAGATGTAGGTCATTTTGAATCTTTGGGTTGGGATAATATTTTTTGTTTCAACCACTGCTTTACCCATGCATTAATTTTGCAAATTTATCTGTATGTACAATATGTTTGGTTTTTGTTTTTTAAACTCTTCTTGAGATTTAGATATTTGACCCACAAATAGTACTAAAAAGTGTCTAGCAAGCATTGTTAATCTATGTGGTTTGACTATCTTGGACTTAATGTTATTGTTAAGTATAACATACTTAATTTTGAGGGTACTATTTTGAACTCTCTCGTATTGATTTTGGGTCTACAATATTGTTTTATCATATATACAATTTTGTGTAGTTTGAAAATCTGACTTCAGGAACACTAGTGGCCTAGTAGGTTGTACAAGGAGTTATACTGCCAACCCAAAGACACATGGTTCAAATCCACCATCTCCACAGGAGAAAGATGGCCAGTCTTTTCCCCTGTGATTTACAGCTTCTGAAAAGCCTCTGGAGAGTCTGATCTCAGTTGGTTCTGACGTGATGGCAGTGAGTTTCAATTTTTTAGTTTACATGCCTCCTGAACTAATGGTTTTTACATGACGTAGACTGCTATGTAACTAAAGCTAAAAAGAGTGAACAGATCTTCTAATAACGATCTCTTCTTTTCCTTTCTAGAGAAGTGTGGAGCATACACTAAAAACATGAGACCAGTTTATCCATCAAAAACATTTCCCAACCACTACAGCATTGTCACGGTAAGCTATACATTGCCACTTTTCTTTGCCCACAGAGGAGTCTCTGGGTGGTGCAAGTGGTTGAACATTCACCTACTAGCGGAAAGGTTGCCTGTTCAAATATGTCCAGAGTTGCCTCAGAAAACAGACCTGGTGATCTGCTTCCGAAAGGTCACAGCCTTGAAAACCCTGGGGAGTAGTTCTCTGCACACGTGGGCCCACCTGAGTTAGAATAAACTGAGTGGCAAATAACAAGAAAAGCTTCATAGAGGTGACTTAGATGTTAATACATTTTTTACTGGAAGAATTAGCCTTCAGATTAGAACAAAAAAATAAAATGTTTTTCCTTTCCAATACGTAGAACACCAAGGATTGGTATTTCCTCTGCCCCTGACTAGTGATGACATTGGAAAGTGACTTTTATCTTCTGTGTCTTAAGTTTTCTCGCTCTTGAAAGGAGGTAACTAAAAGCTTCAACAATGGCTGACTTCATGGTTTTGTTTTAGTTTTAAGGTCTTAGTGGCCTGGTTTTCCTCACTTGTTTTATGACTTAACCATTTTGGAGCCAAAAATCTTGTCCTGCACTCATGTGTTTACAATGTGCTCTTATTTTTAGTCATCTGCAGCAAGCCGCTTTTCCTGAGGACACATAGAATTGCAACTTTGTTTTTATTTTAGTCAGTTTTCAGATTTAATTTGAATCTAGAGGGGGAAGAAAGGTAGACTTCTTTTAACCTTAGAATTGAAGCCAGAAAATGAGTACTTTAGATTGATACAGGCTATTTCCAGACTCAGTCAAAAAGGGAGTCTGTGCTGTGGGAATGCTTTCTCCTGCACACAAAAAGAAAGCAGTGTCTTTTCCCCCCCTAGCCTTTGGTGACTAGACTTTGGCCTATTCATATAGACCTTTGTCCACACTGTTCCCTGTTTGTCTTCTCTTGCTTCAGGAGCCCTGGGAGCAGAGCATATTACATGTACAGCTAACTAAAAGGTCATCAGTTTGAATCCATCTGCCGTTTCATAGGAGATGACAAACACAACACAATCTCTTGAGTGATTGTATTTCAGTAGCTCTCTTTGCTTTTTCTTTGGCCATTTAATTTTACTTTACTTATCATTAAAAGGTTCCTATCTTACCTAAAACCCTGAAATTTCTGTTTTTTAGGGACTTTATCCGGAGTCTCATGGCATAATTGACAATAAAATGTATGATCCCAAGATGAACGCTTCCTTTTCACTTAGAAGTAAAGAGAAATTTAATCCTGAGTGGTACAAAGGAGAACCAGTAAGTTCTTGGTTGGTTTTAACTATTAAATTGAGTACTACACTGGAATGAGTGAAAAGAAGGACGTTCTGACAGGAATGTATGGTTAGAAACCGTCTGTATGACAGTAGTTTTACCAGGGGAGTTTGTGTGGGAAGGAGATAGGAGGAAAGTGTACATGGGTGAGCAAATAATAAAAAAAAATGGTTTCTTTTACTATGTAATTATGAACTAAATGATATATAATTTACTGTTGTATCTCAGAGTAGAATACCACATTCCTTAGAAGTTTTAATAATTTTTTTCAGTTACTGTGTCTGTGGCCTTCCTTTTATAAGAGGAGATGAATACTAATTGTTGTAGGGTTTGTACATGTATAATGAGAGTATTTAATTTTAGTGCTGAGTTTGGGTTGACTGAGCCATTTTTCATTTCTGCTTGATTTCTCTTTATCCTGGTAGCATATAGCAGTCGTTTGTGAGGAATAGTTTTAGTCTTCACAAAGCTCATTTGTTTCTGCCAGAAATGAGTCTTGCCTTCATTTACATGTGCTAATTTAGAAAGTCCTCTCTTGATTGTGATTTGAATGTGTTCTCCTTTTTATTTTTTTAAAGTTGCCATAGAAGTTATATACTGTTTATTTAAATAGTTTGGTAGTCTTGTTATTCATCTGAGAATGAAAAAAGGGCCTAGTGACTAAGATTTCAGGTCAATCTGAAATTAATGAATGATTGGATATTGTGTGTATTGTAGTTAACAATCTTGAACAAGACGTGCAATGAAGATTGAAATGAGAAGAAGGGAAGGGAAATGTATATAAATGAGGAAATGAAAATGAAATTTCTTTGTAAACTTTCATTCAAATCACAATAAAAAAGAATTTTAAAAGGATTTCAGGTTATAAATTCAAGCTTCTGCTCTGCCTTATTGTGGGAATGAATAATATAGTTTTTTTTTGAACAATGATTTCTTTCTGTGCCTTGCTTTTCTCATATAATCACTGTAGAAATAACTCATAGGGTTATATAAATTAATAATGTAAGATGTTTACAGTAATAATATTTATTATTGTGTTTGGCATTAATAAGGGCTTAATTAATGTTATCTATAATCAGCAACAACAACATATCAGCAAAATTGTCAATTAAATGCATGTGTATATGAATTTTTCTTTCAAAGGAAATCTTTAACTAGTGGTGTCATTCTGGAAGTTACAAGACTTGTCAACCATATCGTGTTCATCATTTCTGATCATTTCACATCTTTTTGCTGCTGTTTAAGGGATTATATTATTTCTTTTGATGTGCTTATTTCAGTCTAACAGCTGCCACTTATTAATATTAAAAAATATTCTCTGTCACTTGAGGGTATTGGTATTGGATGAACGCATGTTTTCCTAACAGATGACTGTTTGTGTATTTGACTAACTTTCCTTTATCATCTTCTCTAGATTTGGCTCACAGCTAAGTATCACGATCTCAAATCTGGCACATTCTTCTGGCCAGGCTCAGATGTGGAAATAAATGGAATTTTCCCAGACATCTATCAAATATACAATGGGTATGCACTTCAAAAGTATATGTAACTAACATAAACCTCTGTTTTTCATCCTATCCTTTATATCAAGTTCTAACCTCTAGTGTTGTAAATGTTAAGTTGGTTGAAAATAGAGAACTATCAGAATAAGAACTCAGACTTTTAGTGGATTGTAGATATGAAAACAAGTGTTTTCTAGAAGTCTTCTCGAAAGTTCTGACAACATTTTGGGGTTTGCATTGAGATATATGTGCAAAGATCAAATATGTTATCATGGTGAAAGTGCGATCTGAGGATAACAATAGACCAGTTTGAATCCCAGCATAAAAAAAGGTGACTCTAGGTGAAAGAGAAGGTGAAAGTATTAGAGGACAATTAGGTATTTGGAAATATAACTGAAAGAAAATATGAATAGCATCTTCCTATTTTCATTAAAAACCATGCTTTCTGATATGAGGGGCTGATTAAAAGAATAACCTACCTGTGGTATTTTAAACCCATGATGTAAGATAATAAGTATGTTAATTACTTTATATATTTCTAAATATAATAATACTATATTAGTATGAGATTGTTGTTGTGTACCGTAGAGTTGGAACCGACCCATAGCTGACCTTCTGGCAGGTTTTCAGAGGCAGTTAATTGCACGGGAGGAGATTGCCCATCCTTCTCCCGCGGAGCAGCTGGTGACCTCGAACTGCATATCCTCAGGATTGCAGTGTAGCTTCTTGCCACTAGGCGACTAGAACTCCCCATGTGATTACAATAATATTAATACTTACTAAGAGTCTTATGCTCTACCAACTGAGCTAGTCAGGTATAAATAATATTAATAGTTATTGATAATTTTCTCCCATATGCTTTACGCCCTGAGAAATCCTTTGGAGGGTTAACTGTGAGTTGGCCACTAGCAGTGAGTGAGGTAGATGTGAAAGACTCTATTTGACTCATTTTAGTAAGACATGAGATAATTTTATTTTCTACTTAGGAAATTTCTTTGGCAAATAATTTATTTTCCTATAATGAAGTACAAACAAAAAAGATAATTAAAAACCATGCGATCAATGCATAACAGTTTTCACTGACACAGGATAGAGCAGGGTTTAGGGCTGTTGTACTTGGGTCGCTAAGAGTCGCAGGCAACTTGATGGCACATAACAACAACAACAACAATCCAATGCTGCTCAGTGTTTTTAATGGTTCATATGAGCACAGTATAGTACCTCTTCTCTACCTTATTATTTTCCTCTTTTAAAAATAGCACAGATGTTAACTGAGATTTTATGTGCCATGTTCTGTACTTGATATGGTGAATTAAAATATCAGTGGCATATGGGCTCTACCTCCTGGTATCCAGGAGAGAACATAGCCAGCTGGGGCAAATACACTGATAGGGTGTGTGTGAATAGATAGGTCTATCTAAGCCCAGAGGCATGGGGAATCAGAGTTGCTGAGAAAAGATGGTCTTAGAACCTGTATTTGCATGAGGGTCTATTTCCCAGGTTTTCTATGGGGCATCAGTGGGTAAATTCTTCATTAATTATCCTTTATAAAAACATTAGCTCATTGGTTACTCATGAAAACAATGCAATAGATATTCACAGGTACAGGATACTATCATGAAGTAAGATAGAGAGAGGAAGTTTAAACTTCCCACCCCTCAGCTCTTTATATATGTGTGAAACCTTTTTTTTTCCCATTGAGAAAAGAGGTTTAATTTTGCAAATAAAACTCTTCAGCTTGATTGATGCATTGCCTTGTTGTAGCAGCTCTTAATATTATTTTCATTAAGAAACACCTATATTTTAATGCAAGCCAACAGTGATCACAGATTTGTTTCATTTTTCTTATCCTCAATTTTAGTTCGGTGCCATTTGAAGAAAGAATTTTAGCTGTTCTTAAGTGGTTGCAGCTGCCTCAAGAAGAGAGGTATGTAACTGATGAATTTCTATTTTGAATGCTCCTTGGTCTCAGAAATCTTTAAGCAAGATTTTCAAATAGACTTTACTGTTGACTATGGTAATTTATGACCGATTGAACTCTACTGTAAACTACGACAGCTAACTTGTGAAGAATTTCAGATCTGTACGTTATTTCTCAGCAAATTTAGAGATGCTACCTCAGGGTTATCAAATTTGTTGTTAGTGTTAATTGTTGAATTATTCTTTCCATTCTGTTTTTCAATGTGTTCGTAAAATATTACATTTTGATACTGTTTGATTTAGACCACACTTTTACACTCTGTATTTAGAAGAACCAGATTCTTCAGGTCATTCCTATGGACCAGTCAGCAGTGAAGTAAGTACCTTTTATCAGTGTTTACTCCATTCAACTGAATCTTGCTTTGAAAAAACTTTCTATTCTGCAAGAGTCTATGATTTCTGGAAAAATTTGAGTGTTAAATATCATTTAACTTAAAAAATTTATTAAAATAAAGGCTTAGGTGAGTCTTTTGTTCACACTTTCTACATTACTGATGATGAGTAATATTCTTTATGTATGTTTTCTATTCCATTTCTCTTATTCACTCCCTAGCCTAAGTCTAAAAATGAAATGCTTCTTAGTGATCCTATTTCTAGTATGTGTGTATTTTCTCTTATTCTAGTTACCAAGGCAGGTTGACACCGTGACTCCACAGTGGGTATGAGCATGGCAGAGGTTGTGAGGATGGTTCAAGACAGGGCGAGGTTTTGATTTGTTGTTCATAGTGTGACTGTCTGTCACCCCATTGTTCCTTAGGAGTTGTAGGTGACTTGAGGGCACCTAACAACAGCACCATTATCTACTCCAGATCCCTCTACCTTGGTCTAAACTATAAGGTTTTTAAAGTATTTTACAGTTAGTTAAGACTCCAAGTTTCTATGTACATATAGGGCCAAATAGCAGAAAAACTTTCCTATGAAAGCACCTCCTGAGGTGGTAAAACTCTCATCACCCTGAAGCATGCTCACAACAGAGCTCTGACACCAGAGGATTGGAGATTTTTATCAGAAGAATTGAGAAGTTTGTTTTATTGAGAGATTACTACTGAAGTAGAGCTTGGGAAACAAGTCATGCAATAATGCTCTCAGTGTAACATCTCATTGCACCTGGTGTTCCTTCAGGAACTTAGCCAGCTCCGGACTAGCTAATCTATCTGATGCATTAGCACAACAAGTACTGCTGACAGTTATTTGTATCTGTGTCCCTATCACTATCTATATCTCTCTTGATCTTTTTTTTTTTAATAGTAGAGCATGGGAAGCATCGAAATAAGAATTGATTTAGTTTATTTTCTCTTACTTCTAAGTGAACGTTCCTCTTACCCTACATTTCACTCAGTTTTAAGATAGAAAAAGAAATATAAATAAAGGTCTGTGAGTATTGCTGACCATATAAAGAGAAGAAATGTTTTCTCAGGGATCCCCAGTCTCAGAATCCTTGTCTGGTTCCCTTGAGCCCCATCTGATTGCAAGGTATATGAGACTAGGGCATGTTCTTGGAAAATACAATCTTTCTTAATGGCAAGAGTTTCATTTCCAAATTCCTGGTACACAGTCTTCTCCTGTTCATCCAAACCGGATGGCTTGTGAGCTTCAGAATCCATTGGACAGATCTGCTGCAGAAATCTCTTTAAAGTGTTGAAGAGAAAAGATGCAAATTTGAATACTAAGGTGTGCTGACTCAAGCTATGGTATTTTAAATTGCCTCACATGGATACAAAAGCTGGCTGGTGGATAAAGAAGACCAAAGAAAACTTTTTATCTTTGAATCATGCTATTGGTGGAGAGTATTGAATGAACTGACAAAAGAACACATAATTCTGTCTTGGATGAAATTCAACCTAAATACTTCTGAGAAATGAGTATGATAAGACTGCATCGCATATATTTTGCATGTGTTGGATCCAGAGGAACAAGTCCCTATATAAGAAAGTTGTGCTTGGTAAAATGAAGGGTCAGGAGAAAAGAAGAAGAGCTTCATCAAGATGGATTGACAGATGGCCTGTATTAGTGACTTCAAGTATAGCAACAATGTGAAGATGACATAGGAACCTGGGCAGTGTTTCATTCTGTTGTATGTAACATTATTCTGAGTCAAAATAGACTTGATGGTACAACTTAATCTAACAGGACATAATTTTTGGTAATCAGTTGTTATTGTTGAGCTGGATAATGACTAAGAATGACAGAAGAAAAAGTAGGTGCCTTTGAGTTGTGACACTGGAGAAGAGTCTTCGAACATGCCATAGACTGCCAAGAAAACAAACAGATCTGTCCTGGAGAGGGTGAAACCAGGTTGCTCCATGGAGGCAAGGACTTTGAAGCTGTGTCTCACATTCTTTGGGCATTTTGTCAGTATGGAGAAAGACATCATGCATGGAAGGGTGGGGGCTCAGCACAGGATGCTCGATGAGATGGATTGACACAGTGACTGCGGCAGTGGGGTCAGGTGTGTCAGAGACGGTGAGGTTGATTCAGGACAGGGCAAGTTGTTAGGTCACGATGAGTCATAGTTGACTCATGAGCACATGACAACAACAACAGACAGTCAGTGAAAACAAGGAAAACACTCTAGGAAATAGAACATAATCGCCACAACAGTGAGCTAAAGTATACTATCTTGTTATACATAATGTGGTCATGAGTTGGAGCAAACTGAATAATAACTACTAATGTATTGGTTAAAAGTAATGGCAACAAGAAGAGAGGAAAAGAATTCTCATTCATCAACTTTCACTACCAGAACTCCTGGTAGTTGAGTGAATGTTCAGTCATAGTGATGCTGGAACCCAGAGGAGAACTGTTCCCTGTGATTTCCAAGTCTCTACTGTTTATAGAAGCAGATTGCTCTTTTGCCCATGAGTGGCTAGAGGATTTAAACCACCAGTGTTTTGGTTAGTAAGCAGAAGTTTAACCACTGCACCACTAAGGTTACTCTTGAATCCAAAACAGCTGGCGAAACCATCATCCCCATTTTGCTGTTGTAACCTAGATTTGCCTCTTTTAAAGAGTGCATACTGGGTCACCGTCACCTCCGATGAAAGAAGTGAGTAGAAAGGGAAGTTATGTTCTGTTTTTATTCTTTCTGTATTGGTTTTTGGGATTTTTGTTGTTGTTGTTGTGGTTTTCCCCTAAAAGTGATCTCACATAAGTCCAATATAGTTAGTTAATCCATTTTGCCCTTGATTTAAATACAAATGCTTTTCTAAGAGGTGAGCTAAGGAGCATGTTGGACCACAATGTAGC